GGGAAAGGAGGGACAGGCTGTGCCCCCCCAGCAGCAGCCCAGAGAAGCGGGCACAGCGCCGGGTTTGGGTTCCCAGCACTTCCCCAGGAGCTGCCTAAAGACAACCGAAGTCTTTATTCATCTCCTATGTACAAATCTCAGAGCCGCGGCCCGAAGCAGAGCGCGAACACGGGACAGAGCAGCGGATACATTCAATGCGGTGCCGAGGGGGGGGGGGAGGAAAAGGGGGGCGGCCCCAGCTCTGCTCGGGGGCGACGCGGTGCAACGTCTCACACTTTTGGAAAGGGGCGAAGTCCGCCAGCGAGCGCCATTCCTGTACGTACAGCAGCCGCCCGGCCCTGAGCCGCGCGGGGCTCCTCTGCCCACGGAAGGACCCACGGCTGCCAACAGGCAGAGAAACCGCGGAGCGGCGGTGGGAAGAGGCGCCGCGATGCCGCGGTGGGGCCGCGCCCTGCAGCCCCGCACGCCGAACAACGCGTGGACCCATCGGCTTCGCTTTTACCGCCGTGGTTTTGGTTGCGTTATTTCGGTACTGGCCGTTCCGAGCCGCCCCGCACGGAGACCCCGAGAGCGTCCCACGCTGCGGCTGCTGAGCGTCACCGCAGGGGAACGTCCCCACCCCGCCACGTCCCCGTAGTGCCAAACCGGAGCTCCGCAGCACCGCTCCGACCCCACCGGCATCGTCCATCCCGCGGCGCTCAGCCCCCCCCAGCGGCGCCGCTCACCTCCGCGCTCCCTGCAGGCGGAGAAGCGCCGACGCTCAGCACGGCCGTGGGAAGACGGGCGGGTGGGGGGACGAAGGGGCGGCCGCAGCCCCGCGGCGGTGGGGTTCGGTGCGGCGCTTCTGGGCTCTCGGGCTCCGACCCAAAGGCGGGCACAGCGCAGCGCCGGGGCCCCGCGGCGGCACTATGTGTAGAAGATGATCTCTGGGATCTGTCCGTCCTCCACCGAAGTGCCGTTGTTGTTCCCGGCCGCGTAGCAGAAGGTGAAGCAGGTCTTGGCGCCGCTGGTGGGCGACTCGTGGATCACCTTGCGCAGCCCTTTGGTGCCGTAGTGAGAATCGGGGCCCTGCGGGGACGCAGGGCGGCTCAGGCAGAGCGCGGGGCTTCGTGCTCCCTCCCTCCCCCTCTGCCCTTCACACAGCCCCTCGGCTCTCACCCCCCTCCCCGAGTACCTTCAGAGTAGCACACGCCGTGTAGTTGACGTTGGGCAGAACCTCCACGGGCTCCTTGAACATCACACGGAACGTGTTGGAGGAGCCGTCGCAGCTGAAGCCTGTGTCGTTCTGCCCCAGCACCGTGTTACTGTCCGTGTGGATGATCTGCAAGAGACACGACTGCTTTCCACCCCTGTGACAGCCGAGAGCTGCAGGCGTGGATCCCCGCACCCAGGGATCCGCGCCCCCATTGTGCTCCCACCCCACATCCCGAGGTGCACAGCTGCAGCCACGTACCTGTATGTTCACCTGGTAGTCTGTGGGGCCGTGTATGGAGCCGTACAACCCAAACCCAACGACGAAGATCCGTTTGTTCACTGAGAACCTGCAGGGACAGACAGCCGTGCTCAGAGCGGCCCGCAGTGCCGCAGCGCCCCGGTGCATCGCCGACACGTCGCCAACCCCACACCTCACACCCACAGCTGGAATCCTCTGCTGAGATCCTGACCCGTAAGCTGGCTGTGCTAACGGCCCCGCGCTCCTTTTGTTTTGTGTGGGGAAAGCAGAGCCACACTGCCCCACCTCTGAGCCCCACAGCCCCCCGAGTTGTGGGGCTGCAGGACGCTGCCAGCACCCAACCCAGTGCCAGCAGCAGCTCCCGGTGCTGCCAAGTGCCTGGGAGGAGGGCTGCTCTGAGAACCCACTGCACACAGGAAAGGGGAATTGGAGCAAGTTGCTCCAGAGCGCAGAACGCCTACTGAAGCACAGCAGGCTTCCCCTGACCCAGCACAGTGCTGGAAGGACATGGAGTAGTGCTGGGCTGGAAGGACACACATCTCTCCCACTGCTGTGCCCCAGCACGGAGCACTGGGTGCCCATAGGCTGCACTGGGTACAGCCATGTCTCAGAGCAGCACCATGCACAGCTCACCCAGCTGCACCACCCACCCACGGAGGCAGCGGCGAAAAGGTGCTGTGCCTGCAGGACTGTGCCAGTGCAAGTTCTCTGCCCTACACCCAGTGCCACCCCACAGCACCACGGCTTCCTGGCCTCCCCCAACCCGCTCCAGCTGCAGCCCAGCACGGCTGCACACGGCTGCTCCTCCCCCGGCCCGGCCCTGCGCTGTCAGCAGCGAAGCGGGCAGCAAAGCCCCTCATCCAACCCTCAGCAATCAGCAGCACTGCTGAGCCACGGCTGTGCACAAGGAGAGCCAGCAACCTCGCTGCCCTGCGGCTACAAGAGCCGTCCCAGCAGCGCAGAGGACGCAGGACTCAGGAGCAAGCAGCAGCCTGCAGCTGCACGCACAGCAGAACGCGGCTGCTCTCCCCCACGGCCGGCGGCAGGGCCTGGCACACCGCCCTGCAGGTGGGAGGAGGAAAGCTCGGGAAACACGAATCTATCGGCAGCAGAACGAGCAGAGAAGCTGACCTTATCCTGTCACTAGTCCCACTGTACCCCCAGCGGCTCTCCACCTGCTGGAATCGGCTGATGCTGCACTCCTTCCCCCGCAGGCAGCAGCGCGGCCGGTCGATGAACTCCACGCGCGGTTTGGGGTTCACGGTGAAGTGCAGGAACAGGCTGACCACCTCACGGTCCGTCAGGATCCCCGACTGGGCCGGCCCTGCAGGGAGCACAGAGCAGCACCGTGAGCTCAGGGCTGCCAGCACACAGCGTTGGGAAACACAGCATCACTGCTGCAGGGCTGTGAGCTCTGATGGAACTGCAGCACCTCCGCGCTGCGCCTGGAGAAAAGCAGCTCTGGCAACAGCTCCCTTCATAAGGAAACTGGGGAGAAATCAGTGCTGCAGCTCCTCCAGCAGTAGCTGCTCTGCATCTCTGTGAGCTGAGCAGCTCTCGTAAAGCACTGCTGTGGGTTGGAGATGTGGGATGCAGGAGTGGACTGTGGGCCAACATGAGCTGCATGGACCAAGGAACGGCCGGAGGCACAGTGCTGATGGAGGAATGAGTGCGAGGGGATTTTGCTTAGCAAAAATTAACCATCGTTAATCACATGTGAAATGACCCTGTGCAATGCACAGCTCTGGGCCTCAAAGCTGCTGACACAGCACTGCTGGGAGGAGAGCTGGGGGTTCCCCTCCCTGACCTCTGCTGTGATCTGTCTGGAAGAGTCAGAGCCACTGGGGTGCTGCAGACATGGCTGGGGGGGAGGGGGAAAACTCACTGCACCTCCACTTGGGTTCAGTGTTTTGGAGTTTCTTTTGCTCATCTTTTGGGTTAACGAGGATGGAAAAAGCCTGCAGGGTTTCTCAGAGAGGAGGAATGCTCTGGGACAGACTCAGCACCACCAGCCCTCCTGCTGGAGGAACGCTGACAGCCCTCCTGGGGGCTGAGCTCTGTGTGGCACCGGCTGGACGAGGCCAGCAGTGAACAGAAGGGAGCCTGGAGCCCAGCGTGGGACAGGCAGGCACGAGCCCCAGCTCACCTGGCAGAGTGCTGACACCTCTACACAGAGCAAAGGAGCAGGGGAGGAGGGGGAAAAGAGGAGGAACAGGACATGCACAGTAATTTTTTAAGCCAAAGGTAACGGAATAACCTCCGGTTTAAATTAACAGTGAGTGCAATTTTGTGTACCCAGCCCTGGAAGCGCAGGCAGAGCACAGCCAGGACAGTTACCTGCTGCAAACTCCTCAATCGTCATCAGTGGGAAGCGGATGAGTGCCAGTGCTTTACCCAGCACCTTCCTCTTGTTCTCAGGCACCACCTGCAGCTGCTGCCTCTGACACTCAGCCTCCGACCAGCGAACCACGGCTCCGAACAAACGAACCTCACGGATGCCCAGCGTGTCCCGCTCCAGCACTGCCACCAGCGTGTCTGCAGGGCACACAGGGCACA